AGCTGGTGGTCTGTTGACCTTGACCTCTGGCACTGGAGCGGCCACCTCGAGCGGCAACGTTGTGCTGAGCAGTGCGGACGCCGGTACAGCGGGCGTGTCGGGACTGCTGAGCTTTAGCACTGGTTCTGCGACGACTGGAAGCTCCGGCAACTTGATCCTTGGGTCTGGTACGGGAGCTGGCGGCAAAGGCGGCTCCATCCTGATGACGGTGGGTTCGGGCAACACGGGCACTGGCGGCATTGTTTCCATCAAGGCCGGCACGAGTACCGAAGCCACCACGGGGGTCGGCGGCAGCGTCGCCATCTCTGCTGGCAGCGGCGTTGCGACTGGCGGTGCAGTGTCAGTCCTTTCTGGCGGCAGTCCCACGGCGGCATCTGGGTCCCTCACCCTGGCCACATCGATTGGTGGAAGTGCTGGTGCGAGTGGAGTCGTAGTGTTGTCGAGCGGTGTGTCTCCGTCAGGCGCGAGTGGCACGGTGACGGTTGCGAGTGGAGTGTCGAGTGCAGGCGGCGTTGGTGGAGCGGTTGCTATTTCGGCCGGAGATGGTGCCTCTGGAACGGGTGGCGCAGTGACCGTGGCGGCTGGTTTATCGGCGACGGGCGGATCTGGTGGCGTCCTCACGCTCAAGTCGGGGTCTGGAACGGCCACGTCGAGTGGGGACATCATGGTCAGCACGCCGAATGCTGGGCTGGCGGGTGTGTCTGGGCTGCTGAGTTTCAGCAGTGGCACGTCGTCCACCGGCAGCTCCGGGAACTTGATCCTGGGCTCGGGGACGGCCGCCGGTGGCAACGGTGGCTCCATTCTGATGACCGTCGGATCTGGCAACACGGGCACTGGCGGCGTCGTGTCCATCAAGGCCGGCGCGAGCACGGAAGCAACCACTGGTGTTGGCGGAAGTGTGTACCTGAGCGGTGGCACTGGCGTAGCGACGGGTGGTGACGTGAGTCTGCTGAGTGGCTTTGCGTCGACAGGAACGTCTGGTGGCGTGGTCGTTGGCACAGCTGCTGCGGGCTCGTCGGGGTC